TTTCTTTTTTTTTTCTTTTTGATAACGCGAGGTTGTGAACCACTTAACTTTGACTTCATCAAGCCTTGCCTCGCTTCAGATATTTTACTTACAGACTGCTGTTAGCATCAAAAAAACCCCCAGCTGTTTAGTGAGATGGGTCTGAGTTCCTCAGTCACGTTGTGCTTAATCACTGTTCAGTTTTCCTTTCCACAGGAGGAAGTTGCTGTTGGAAGCAGGAATTGTTTCTCTTGCACCATTCACTTAATAGAAACTCTAGTGCCTGTCTTCAAGGAAATGAATGTAGGCTGCCACGCTCGGTTCTGCATTATTGCAGAGCCAGGTTGTTTCCAGGGCTCTGCTGCTCCCTGGATGGTGTTAATACACCAACAAGGAAGTGCTGCTGCCTTGAGCACTGTGAAACACGGGTGAAAGTCATGAAAGACAACAGAAAATGGGAGTCTGTGAAGGTACTAAGCAGTAAATAGTCCAGTGGGGAATACAAAAAGCTTTTACAAAGCTTGTTCGAAGCCTAGGCTCTTCGTAAGGTGGAGCTCCTTTAGATGATATTCTAAAACAGCAGCAGTTGGATTGAAGCCTTTTGATTTCTTGTAGGGAGGGTGTGCCATTTGTTTGCATCACCAAATGCTAAAATTCTTTACTGATCGATATAAGGGTATTTTATAAATGGAGCAATGCGTTGGTTAAGAATAGAACCATTACTCTTTAAAACAGTGTGCGGTCCGTAACTTAGCATGACACTTAAAAGAACATGTCCATGGTAATTTTGAATGACAAGTTACTTATTAGCAGTCATTTACCTTGCAGTCAGTGGTAATAATTGAGATCTTCTGAAATATATGTTGTTGCCTAGAAAACTCTTTAGATATTACAGAAGTTTTAGATTTGTTGATTGTTTCAGCTGCATCTTGCCAGAACCGTAACTGTCCTTTGTACAGTGCTTCTCTTTTGAGCTAATGCATATATACACACACACACGTGTATACATGCATTATGTTATATAGGTACATTTATAGAGAGAGATACAAGCAGAGATCTGCAGGGATGGATGGGAAGAGTGAGGAAACACGGTGCTCCAAATTCAAGCCATGGCTGCAGTACTCACAGATTGCTCCACAGCCTCATGCAGATCTTTTGATTTCTGCATCCATTTTCATGTGAACTTGGTAAAATGTTAATGCATACAAGGAGAACTAGGATTAAGTTGTCAATATTTGTACAAGTCTTGCGTGCATCTAGCGATAATTTGTTGGTGTAACGTATTTTTCAGGCTGCTTAGTCATGAATTTTTCTTAACTTAATGTTGTCAGAAGGACGAAATTATGACCAAAATATTTCTTTTAAGCTTCAGCCAAAGTATTTCTACCAGGAAGCACTCATAAAGGAGGCAGAGCTTTGGAGATTAAATAGGCTATAACAAGGTAGAATACAGTCTCAGATGTAAGCAAGTATTAGCTTTTAAATTTAGCTCATTGTCCTGGGTGTTTTGTGAGGGGAGGAAGAAGGATGTGTGTGTACTCACAGGCACTGTGTATTAACCCTGTACTTCTTTCTGAGAACAAGATCTTTTTATGGCATCAGGAGCACTGGAAATCCAGACAATTTCATCTTTAGAAATCTCAGTAAGGCTGCGCAGAAAACGGAGACTGAGAATGTGCTGTGTCTTAAGTCAGTGTCAGTAATAGAATGTCACTGATGTAAAGAGGCAGTATTGCTTACAAATGGCTCGTTTTCTACCTTTAGTTTTGGACATAACTCATTTTTTACAGAACAGCCTGTTTTTAAAAATACTATGAAAACTGTTAGCAACTTGCAACAAAGCAAATAAAAATCCTTGCTTGTCCTCTTCCCCACTAACAGAGAGCTGTTAACAATGCATATATCCTATAGATCCAGGAGTGTTTCTTAATTAAATGTTGGAGAACAAAAAGAAGAAACAGTTTGATCCAACAGATAGATTCTGTGATGGAAGTTCTGGATTCAGTCTTGGTACTTTGGGGCCTTGAGGGGTAAAAAAAAAAAAAAAAAATCTTTTGCTTTTATGCTTTTTGCATGTTTGAATTGTAATCTCTTCCAGGAAAGGATTTTCTCTACTGTATTTACCCAGTGCCTGACGCCGTGGGGCCCTGACCAGTTGGTCCTAGGAGAGCAGTCTTTAAAAACAACTTTGCAACCCAACAAAAAAGCCTTCTTGGGGCAGTGGAAGGTCGAAGCTTGGCTGCTTTTGATTTATTATTTAAATCCAAACACAAATAGCAGATGATGTGTTTTATGTTATAGGGAAGATTGTATCTGTATGAAGCATACACTTGGAACATAAGCAGGACGTTCTGTGGACATAGTAGGATTCTAACGTGCTTTGTAAGTGGTCCTGAATTCCTGCAATCAGTATTTCCTTACTTTATTACTTTGTTCAAAATCCTGTGCAGTTGTTAGGGCGGTTCAGGTTGATCATGTACTTGATATGCTTTTAAATTCAGTTCTGTCCAAACCTTCCTAGAGGACAGATTGACTCTGTCTATGATAGACTGTTGTGTCTCTGTTAGTGGTACGTATCTGGTTGTGCTCACAAAACACACTGCAAGTCAAGTACTTTTTGGAACTTTAATTGTGCTTGAGCCTTGTGGGAGTATTTATTGCTCCCAGACTGTGGAGTTACAAATACGTCTTTGTTTGCTCTGTAAGAACTGAGGCAATGAGTAAGGATCGTGTTTTGATATGAGGACTTGAAAGCGTGTATTGTCTTGGGTAGCTTTATAGTGTTTTCAAAAGTACCTTGTACCTCTGAGTGTGCAGATAAGCATGAGAAAGGAGCTACCACATGGACTTTGCTTAAAATACACTCCTCTGCTGATTGGTAATCCTCTTGTGTGTCGGGTGACAGTTCTATATGTCTGTAATCTGTGAGTATTTACATATAAATGTGTGTGTGTGTGTGTTTCTGATAACTTAGATCTTGTAAGAATAGGTGAGAAGTGAGACCTGTAATACCTTGTAAGGTAGAGTTGTCTTCTATCTGCTCTTAGCAGGGGTGAGTTATTGCTACTGTTTTCTGTTGACTAGAGCATGATATGATGCCTCCTTTAGTGATAGCAACGTACTATCACTGTTTTACCTTCCGAGGCGGCAGAGCCCGGTTAGTACAGCCCGTGCAAGTGTTAGTGCTGTTTTCTTGGCCAGCCTGGGCAATAACCAAACCTGTCCTTGCTTTTGATTCTGGTCCCACAGTCGCCAGCAGCCTCGAGTTGTGCTCGCAGCCCTCGTGCTTCCCACCTTCCTCCGTGGCCGCGATGGAAGGATGAAGCGTTAGCGCTTCACGGCGCGTTCAGAGCAGATCCTGGCGCCTTTCAGGAAAGGCGGGTGTCGCCAGTCGTTCGAGGTTCTGCTCAGGTGTGGGCGTCTGTGGGAGCGCTGCTCGGCCTCTCCGTGCCTGTCGGGGAAAGAGGCTCCCGCGTTGTTCCGTAGGAGCGTTCAAAGTCCTCACAGCCGCGAGCGTTCCGTGATGCCATTAGCCGTGCTTGGCGTTAACGTGCGCCCGGTCTGTCTCGCTGTGTAGGTCTTGACCAAAGCTCTTGCTGCCTGTTAGAATACGAAGGTTCATGCTGCAGTTTAGATGAATTAGCTGGTCATTTGAGGATTTTAGGAGATGCATTAGGAAAATAAATCTTTGAAATCAACTTCTGAGACTGTCTTTCATGTTGTTTACATAGTTAACATGTAACTTTTTTTTTTTGACCTAGAAATTATAGTTAAATTCTCCCACAAGTCAGCGGCTGACAGAAATTTGCAATGTATTCCTGGCTTTTCACACAAAATGCAGTTAAAGGGAAAATATGCATTTCCTCTGTTGGAAACTTAACTAATTCAGAGGGTTTTACTGTCTTTACTTCTCGTTGATTAAGCTTCAGCATTCAGTTTTGTGCATCAGTGAGGTAAACCTGGTTCTATGATGAAACATCCCTGTATGCTTACACAGTTTGTAGCATGTCTCAAAGTGAAACCAGAAACTTGCAGACCTTCTATAACAGGGAACAGTTTTGAAATGTCACAGAGGAGCAAGAAAATTAATGTTATTAAACATTGTTAATACTTAAAGTCATTTAATTTTCCACCCTAAGTCCCCAGGGTAAAAAAGCAAATTAAGCATATGCTTACCTTTAGCTGTCCAGTTAATCATCAAAATTTGCTGTTGCTTCCACTGCAGCCAAACATGAAGCAGTTGACTGTGATCCTTTTCCTGGTCACTAACCTCTCTGTCACTGGGAAAAATAATGCAGATTTTCAAAAGGTTAAAAAAAGTATCTGGAAATCACTTCTTTTGCCCTCTTTTCCCCTCTGTTGCTTAACAGTTCGTGCATTGGACAAAAGAAGTCCTTTGCGTTGAACGTTGTATCTACAAATGAATTTAATTTAGGTTCAGTCGTTTTTTTTCTGGACTTGTTTTGATGAGCAAAAATAATGATGATGATCTTCAGAGGAGCAGAAGTTGGACTTTTTGGAATGAGATGTAGAAAAAGCTTGATTTGCTTCCTAGGGCTAATTTCAGTATCGCTTGTTTTCGCTAGTGTGGGGTAATATCTGAGGTACAAATGTGGAAAACCATAATCATCACCTGTGCCACTGCAGCTTCCACGCCGTCCTCTGTCGCTCCAGCGCTCCAGGAGCTGCTGTCTCTCTCGCTTGTGCCTCCCCGTAGCTTCGTCTCGCACACCCGTGAGTCGCGGCTTGCTGCGTGCGATTAAATACTCTCGATTGCAACACAAATCGAGTAATGGAGGTCCGAACACTTTTCCTTTTTGAAAATTCACAGGAATAAATACACAAAGTTCTCCTTCCTGTTCAGCTTTGCTCAGGTTTTGACATCTACGAGTTAGGTGTGGGCAAATACATCATCAAATAAATCCCCGTTTTGATTTCAGTCTTTGTGAAACAATTTAAGAACAAACGTCGTCGTTGTTTTTTGACCGACAGCAATGAGAAGACTTGAGTAGAATCTCACAATGGAGGTAAAATCCATAGTCCTCGGTGTGGAGGGGATGACGTGCAATTCCTGTGTTCAAACCATCGAGCAGCATGTCGGGAAGATGAGTGGTGTCCATAACGTTACAGTAAGTAACACTGTTGCTGTTTCTTACAAAGCTTTGTTCTTATATCAGAAACAGTGGTAAAGTATGCACCGAGGGAGGAAAATAATGTGGAAATGATATATTCTGTACGTTTCAGGAGAAGCTGGTGTTAGAAATGCGTTAGTTTATTTCTGGTATAAGAGAAAAACAAGCGCTGACTTTACTGCAGTGGGAGCCAAGTCGTTATCTGTTACTCTGAAGTAATTTTCTGCTTTACAGTTAATTCAGTATTGTGAAGTAACGAGAAGAAAGTCCAAAAAAGGCAAGAATAGGAAGCTTTTAAATAAGATAAAGCAAAAGCCCTAGAACTTACACCAGTGAAAAAAGCAAGCTGTCCTTGTCCCTTACACTGAATAAACGTCAGTAGTTGCTCACAAGCCTCCAGGCTTTTTCTTTCAAACTGGTAGTACATGGAGGTCACTTGTACAGGTTCGAAAGCCTTTGTGGGCTGGAGGTGTCCAGTTAATCATGTGAAAAATAAAGCTGTTTTGTTGTGGCTCATGAAATAAGAGCAGCAGGTAATCCAGGTGGCGCAGGAAAGTCTTTCTGTCTCTTTCAAGTGTTAGAGGTTTCCTTTCCTTTGTGCTGTCCGTGAGGAAATGAGAGAAAGCAGCAGAACTGTAGCCTTGAACTGTTAACAGAGCTACTTGGTTTGCCCTTAATCTAGACTTCCCTGATCTGACTTGATTTTATCTTTTTTTTTTTTTTTTCTCCTTAGCTCAGAGGAGGTTGGAGTTTGTTAGGATTTTTTTCTATCATGGGCAAAGTATTGGACTGTAGAGTATTTCAGGGTGAGCTGCTTTTTCATACACAATACAGCATTTTACAGTAGTTTTAATAATGGAAACAGCTTAAAAGCTGGGAGATTCCTGGTAGTTTTATGACCTAATGAGTGCTAGAAAGAACAGTCCCAACCATAGCAGCAACAGAAAATGGCAAAGTTTAATTACTTGGTATCTGGGTTCTGAAATCATACTGTAACATTCTGTAGTGGCTTATTTTACTCCAAAGAAAATAATATCTTCCTGGTTCCATCAAAAGATAATTTCTGTTTTAGTGGCTCTGTCTTCGATGAGCACTCTCCTTCCCAGAGCAGGGTATGCTGTCTCAATCTGGGGGGCACGTTCCCGCTAGCTGATTTTGAAGGGCTCGGTGCAAAGGCGGAGGGCACCAGTTAGTGCACTCTCCTTTGGCCTGGGGTAGGCCTTCCTCTGCGCACGTGTACATTTTGGGGAACGGCAGCAATATTTACAAGACGTAGAATTTATCATCTTCCTTCAACTTTAATGGAGCTTTAACGTGATAGGAGGCTGTGCTCTGCCAGCAGAACCTTGGGTCACTGGGCAGACTGTTCGGAAATGGGGGTGCTGCGGTTGACATCCGTGGCATGGTGCGGTCAGATGCATCACTAGGTGCCCGCAAGCACGAAGTCAAATGAAGGCTAAAAGCAGCCTGTGAATTAATACCCCCAAATACACTGACTTCAGGATCCTTTCTTTCTCCCTTATTCTAGTGAAAGATTTAATCTCGTCAACTTTGCATTTTTATTGTTTCAACTAATTCCTGAGAACCTACAGATGACTTCAGGTAGGAGAAGGAGGAGAGATTCATACTTCTGAAGACATCCCGTGGTGTCTTTTGCATAAGGAATGGAGCAGGCTTTTAAAAGGACAGTATTAAGAGTTTTGTATTTAGGTTTTAAGGTAAATACCTTATCCCAAAGCCAAATTCCATTTCTAAAACTACTCGTGGCAAGAAAATATATTACAAAAACTTAGTCTGAGTAGAACAGGACTATAAGAAACTTTGAGGTCGTGTTCAGTAATTATCCTCATTACAACATCAGAACTTCAATTTAGCCAGATCATTTGTTTCAGAAAAATCTCTGAGAGTAGTAAAACCGGGTTTTGTTTAGTGATTACGAATTAGGTCAGCAATGAATGTTAGATGGCTAATACAGACAAACAGAGCTGCATTTGGGTTATTTTGCCTGCAACCGCAATGAAACCAATAAATGTCAATGTTGCTGATTCTGCTAAGGCCCATAATTGGGACAAAAACGAAGAAAGATGGTTCTTAAAATGACTTAACTGGCCTAATTTAATCATGACTGTGGTCTTTAGGTTGTACTTTTGCCCAGAGGAAAGATAAAATTGAATGATAATGTGTTGGGCCTCTGGCAGGCATTGGCCTTCCCTTTTGGAAACTGCAGTAATTGTGTTTGATACATCAGGAATTGGGAGCAAATTCAATTGTGGATATTTGTACCATCTGATGTGAAAGGTTAGTACCAAATCAGGGCGCCCCTGGATCACCAGAATGTACAGAGAGGAAAAGCAGCTGCTTTAATGTTTGTCATAGATCAAATTTTGAAACTAAATTTTGTCCTGCCGAGTCTGATGCACATGATTGCTCACAGCAGGTTAACAGCCTGTGCCTCAGATGCCTAGAAATACTGGACTCCTTTCACTGCTACTTAAATCCATGGGTTTTCTCAAAGAGTGGTTTTTTCCATCCTTGTAGCCCAAGGGTGATTACTGCTAACTGCAGAATGGTACATGTGATTAGAATTTACGTTTGGGTTTTTAATTGGGTTAGTCATCGTAATTTAAGAGAGTTTGGCGCTGGAAGTTTCATTAAATGCGTTGATGCCGTCGGGATGAGTAAATTAAAAAATAAAAATTAAAAGGAAAGCTTAAAAGTGGCCAGACAGAGCAGGATTCTGAAACTGGTGGAGGAAAAAGGAAAGAAAAATCTGTTCTTCCGAGCCGTGTTGCTGCATAGATGAGCAGAAATTACTTTACGGTGGCTATTGGCACGGCTTTACTCCTCAAGGTGAGTAGTGATGGATAAAATTATACTGGATTATAACTTATATATTCAAGTAAAAGCTATTTCTAGTCTCATGCAGGATATTGGTTCTCATCTCTTAGTATTGCAGCTTGCTAAATTGTTTTGGTCTTTTCTCCCTTGCAAGGTGTCTCTGGAGGATAAGAGTGCGGTCGTCATTTATGACTCAAACCTGCAGACTCCAGCGACGCTGCAGGAAGCAGTCTATGACATGGGATTTGATGCTACATTAGCTGATTCAAACCCACAACCTGTTTTACCTGACACTGTTTTTCTTACAATTCCTCCTCAGTCAGCTCTGACATCTAAACAGATTTGTAGTGCACTACTAAAGAACAAAGGTATCGTGGATGTTAAAATATCCACCGATCAAAAAACTGCCGTGGTGACTTTCATTTCTTCCATTATAAACGGCAAGGAGATTAGCCAGATGGTCCCAGGAGCCGATTTCGATGTCTCTGCACCGGAGGTAATGCCTGGAACTGGTAAAGATTCCAGCTGGTCTCAAGCAAGTAGCAGCGTTGTGCTGCGCCTGAAAGTAGAGGGGATGACCTGTCATTCCTGCACCAGCACCATTGAGGGGAAGATTGGCAAATTGCAAGGAATTCAGCGCATTAAAGGTACAACCTTGGTGTGTTTTTATGTGAATCGAAGTTGGCCGTGCTGTTCTCTGGTGGTGTGGTGGAGATAGCTTGGCTTTAGATTAGACAGCGTAGTGTGACAGTTAATCTTTATGCTACAAGTTATGTAGTTATGTGTTTAATTTGTATTAGAAGTGAAGAAGGGGGCCCAAACTGTGGTGAGGCTGTTGCTGTTACATGTGTGACAGTATTCAGTGGTTGCTTTGTATTTTGGTCAGGAGCCTGGAGCAGTCATGTTCTGTAATTTTATTACCAGTTACAGAAATCTCTAATACCAGATGTCCTTTTTTTGATTGTAATTAATATTAGTTTATATTTTCTGTTCAATTACAAATTCATATTGGCATATATGTGACTGTATCTAAAAGGCAAGACAAAATTGTCTGTATAAATAGGTTTGGCATAAATGTACTGCCACAGGCCTCTGATAAAGGATAAATGTAGTAAGAAATAGTAATGACATTTGTGAAAGTCGTGGAGAAAGAGCAAAAAATTGAGGAAAAGGAGCTGAAAATTGTTGTAGAACTAGACAACAATTGCTTGAAGAACCAAGTCGTTTGATATTTACCAAACCAATTAAATCTGCTTTGATTGCAGTTACATTTCTCGGCATTTAAAGCGTTCTTGGAAAGCTTTGACAACATTGGTTGCTCTTAGGGCAACGTGCTGGTTATGCTTAGGGCAGTAATGCACATTTATTTCTGATTAACTTTCAGTGTCCCTGGACAATCAGGAAGCTGTTGTTGTCTACCAGGCTCATCTAATTACAGCCGAAGAAATAAAACATCAAATTGAAGCTGCAGGTTTCACGGCATCTCTCAGGAAGCAGCCTAGACCCCTCAAGCTCAGTGCTCTTGACCTGGAAAGGCTGAGGAATACTCAGCCGACAGGCTCTGAGACAGCACTGCAAGAACACTCGAATGCGAACGACACAAAGACAGTTGTCTTCAGAATTGAGGGCATGCACTGCAGTTCGTGTGTCCTCAATATTCAGAGTACCATATCAGCACTCCCCTCTGTAGCAAGTATAGCTGTTTCATTAGAGAAGAAATCTGCTGTTATAAACTATAACCCAAACCTAATTAGCGTGGACAAACTGAGAAGAGCCATAGAGGCAGTGTCTCCAGAGACATTTCAAGTCAGCCTTCCTGATGAATATGAAAACGTGGCCCGTTTTCCCCCACGGGCGTCTCCCCTGAAGTCTCCTCATCCCGCTTTGCAGGATGCCGGCCAGCCGCTTACTCAAGTTGTCGTCATAAATATTGAGGGAATGACTTGCAGCTCCTGCGTGCAGTCCATTGAGGGAGTCGTGTCCCAAAAGGCAGGTGTAAAATCTATTCACGTCTCTCTCGCCAATCGTAATGGGACTATAGAGTACGACCCTCTGCAAACGTGCCCGGAAGAGCTGCGGTCCTCAATAGAGGATATGGGGTTTGATGCATCGTTATCAGGTAATGATGGGCTAAACTTTTAAATTTAAAGGGCTTGTGCAGTTCTGGGTAGGATTTGGTACCACCCAAGATGAAATTTAGCAGTTGACCTGTACTTGGTGCTCGCCAGGAGGAGCTTTATATCTTCACTGTCAATGAGATAATTAAATATCCATGCGCTTCCTTTAATACATCAGGTTAATTAAAAATGATCGAGCTGTATGACATATTTATATTTCCACATAAATACTGATGTCTGAATAGTGCTCAGCTTGCTGCTGTGTAATATTCACGGCATGGGTATGGAATTGGAGCTTTGCTGGCTGCGAAGAATATTACAGATTGCGGAGCTGGAGTTTCTTTAATAGCAAATAATCCAAGACTTGGGTTCTGGGGGGTAACTAGCAAAGGAGTATTGATCCAGGCTCCGGTGTGACTGACGAGTGACAAGAATCTGAAGAGCGTGGCCATGGCTGAGGAAGTTGAAATGACGCTGTTGTGAGAGAACCCTGGTGGGCAGCTGAGCGCCACCCAGCCACTCGCTCACTCGCCCACGGTGGGATGGGGAAAAGAAGGGTAAAAGAGGAAAAACTCGTGCATTGAGATAAAGATAGTTTAATAGGTAAAGGAAAAGCTGCGTGTGCGAGCGCAGCGAGGAGTTAATCCCTTGCTTCAGGTCGGCAGGCAGGCGTTCAGCCATCTGCAGGAACGCAGGGTTTCATCCTGTGGGGAAGACAAACGCCATCGCTCTGCACAGCCCCCTCTCCTCCTCCTTCCCCCAGCGTCTCTCGCTGAGCTTGACATGATGTGGTGTGGGAGAGCCCTCTGGTCAGCTGGGGTCAGCTCTCCTGTCTGGTCCCCTCCCAGCTTCTGGTGCACCCCAGTCTGCTCGCTGGTGGGGCAGCGTGGGAAGCGGAAAAAGGCTGTCGATGCCGTGTGAGCACTGCTCAGCAGTAACGAAAGCATCAGGGCGTTCCCCACACTGGTCACGACTCCAAAAGGTAGCACTGTGTGAAGAAAATTAACTCTGTCCCAGCCAAAACCAGTACGGGTGCTTACTGTGATGACTGGGACACCGAAGGTTATTGCTTACAGCCTGCAGAAGAGGACAAGGGATCTGCAACAGGACAGACAAATACAACGAGGAAAGGCAAAAGGAAAAATAGTAACAAAACTGTAAGTTCATCAGCGGCCCAACCCTTTATCTTGTTTTCTTTTGCTTACTGTTAATTGACAGACAGATGAATCTGATTGACGAGGCAGATACAATTACTATTTTTTGGTCTAAATTTACAGCAAGAGGCGTTTATGGCTGGTGCAGTACCAGCTCATAATTGCGATCTCCTTTTCAGCAGAGCTACCTGTGACAATAGCTCAGCCCTCACCCCAAGTGCAGCTGGAACCTCACAAAACCGAGCCTCCCTCCAAAGCGTCGCCCACCCGCCTGGCTCGACAGGATACAAAGACTGTATCCAAGTGCTACGTCCAAGTCACGGGGATGACGTGCGCTTCGTGTGTAGCCAACATCGAGAGAAATTTGAGAAGAGAAGACGGTAAGATACCTGTCAGCGTAAGCTGTTACATTTCCAAGCGTTTCTTTTAGGGAAGGCTTCTGTACAGCGTTTTTGGTGGGTGGGTTGTCCAGAGAAGTGCCGTTGCTGGCGAGTTTCGTGGCTGAGAACGTGGCCTGCTGGCTGGTGGTTCGTAGGCTGAAACCAGCGTCCTTCTTGCTGCTTCGTGGGCGTGCTGGCTAGAGGCTGCCTTCGCGGGAGTTGAAGTGCTCCAAAGAGAATATAGGGAGTAGATGCAGATCCTTTTGAAAGTAAACCAAGTCTTTTCTCCTGGAGGGACGTGCCCAGTCTGCAACTTGAAGGCGTGAGCGTATGTGCCTGTATTAAAAGGGAGCTATTAGAGAGGGGTGGTGTTAATAGGGATTAAAGAGTCGTAAGTTAATTTTAGCTCTGCGAGTCAGGACGGCTGTGTCTGTCTTCTGTCAGTGTGATGCTGTTATTTGCAGGAATACATAGCTGCGTGGCTATGATGTAATGAAGAGTCGTTAATGCAGACTGTGTTTAATTATCGTAATGAAGATGGGTGTGTTCCAAATTAACCTGGAGTTTAATTTCTTTAATCCTAGAAAATGGATTAATCTAAACGCTTTTCACTTAGGGTAGATCTAACAACGTGAAATCCTACTGAGCTCTTCCTCATACATGTTCTCTCTTGAAGAAAAGGCTTTTAGAAATAGTAAATGCAGATCAGGAAAATAGGCAGGACTGTGTTTGAGAACAACTTCTTTTAAGCGAGAATAGGTCATCTTTTCATATAGCACAGATTAAATGTTTGAGACTGTTAAAAACATGCAACTGCTGGGGTAATCCTTTCATCCGTCACACCTACACTTAGGTGCTTTTGTGCCATTGTTGATGTATCTTCCAAAAATGGTGACGTTTTTCTTTATATGTGCCTACAATGTGGTAGTTTTCTCAACTGCAATAAATCACTGTTGTGCCATCCTGTTACAGTAAATGCAGTGTTTTCCTGTAAACGTGGTCTGCCATTCAAACATCTTGTTTTCCAGGAATACATTCCATACTTGTTGCCCTAATGGCAGGAAAGGCAGAAGTGAGGTACAATCCCGCTGTCATACACCCTTCAGCTATCGCAGAGCTGATACGGGAACTGGGATTTGGAGCTACTGTGATGGAAAACTGTGGTGAAGGAGATGGAGTTCTGGAGCTTGTTGTAAGCTAGTAACTAAAACCAGCCACCCCCTCTCTGTTACTTTCACCTGTTGGATGTGCTTGCATATGCGTCCACTTCCTGAAGCGTTAATCATGTAATGGAGATCAGTTTACACAAAATAAAGTATAAGTGTACGTCAAGTGTGTATCACACGTTATCTCTTGTCCTGCAAACTGTGCTGGCTCACCGCTGCTACACTGAAGCCGGAGAAATATTCCCGTGATTTTTTGATTACGCTGCCTATTGCAGGAATTTCTTCTTTTTGTTGTTGGTTTGTTTTGTTTTTTTGTTCGGTTTGGGGTTTTTTTGTAGGTGAGTCTAGCTCAGCGTACCCCAGCTCTAAGCTTGGAGCCAGCAGAGCTTACTAACCTCGTCTCTATGCTGTGCTTCCTCTGCAGCGCGCTCATCCTTAGCTAGAGAGCTCCATCTCGCTGCTTCAAAGCCCAGAAATGTGCAATAAGTAATTTAGGATAATCATAAGCACTTTTTCTTTTCCTATTTTTTTAAGATGCATTTACAGAGTAACCTGTGGTTTTGATAACAGGAAGGAACCTTTGTTTTACAGGTGAGAGGAATGACGTGTGCTTCGTGTGTGCACAAGATAGAATCCACCCTCATGAAGACTAACGGCGTTTTGTACTGCTCAGTAGCTCTTGCAACCAACAAAGCACACATTAAATATGATCCTGAGGTTATAGGTCCTCGAGATGTTATACAAGTGATAAAGGTAAGTTTCATGAAGGCATCAAGTCTCCTAAAATATCCAGTGACCTCTGAAGAGTTACGTACCCCAGAAACAGAAAACTATTAAAGGAAAAAATCTGTCTTTTTTTTTTTTTTTTCCATTCCATCTGCTATCTTCTTAGTGTGAGTTTATGCAGGTAATACATGTATTCTGTCTCAGAAGCAGGGGTCTATTAAGACTTTGCCTAAGTTTTTAAACAGAAATACTAGGGAAGCCAGGTAGAGTCGAAGATGCCACCTATAGGTTTGCGGAAAAATAAAGTGTGTCCATGAGTACAGTAGCAGGAGACAGGTAGAATTAGTTCTTGGCTTTCTCCCTCAATTTCTGTGCTTCAGGAATAACCATTTCAGCCACATTTTAGAATACCATTTTAATGTTGTCGAAAGGTTGATTTCTCCATCAGATTGCTATTCTCTCTTTGCAAGGTAGCTGAAAAATAGTAACAATTGTGTCAGAAATGTTAATAAAGTAAATGAAGTGTAAGGCTGGCACCGTTAATAATCTGGCAGTAACTTCATAGGAACTCAACATGTCTTTAAAAATTGACTGTTCTCTTTTTATTATTATTATTATTACGCTTTTTTCCTTAGGATTTAGGCTTCACTACTTCGTTAGTCAAAAAAGATAGATCTGCCAGTCACCTGGATCACAAACAGGAAATAAGGCAGTAAGTATTCCTGAACACACTTCAGATGCTATAAACATCTCTGATTCTTCTTTTGTAATCAACAGTAAAGTTAGGATTTTTTTATTTTGTGACTGTGCAGACTTGCTAGCTAAATCCTTACCCAGCACTTGGCTGCAAAACTAATTTATTTCTTTATTTTTTTAACTCCAAGGTGGAAAAGGTCTTTTGTTGTGAGCCTCGTTTTCTGCATTCCTGTCATGGGGCTGATGATTTACATGATGGTTATGGACAGTCAACTTTCCGATGCTCGTGCCCATCACAACATGAGCAGTGAGGAAATGGAGGCCCTTCACTCCTCTATGGTCCTGGAATACCAGCTCCTGCCAGGATTGTCTGTCATGAATTTTCTATCGTTTTTACTCTGTGTACCTGTACAGGTAAGTGGGAACGCAACAACTCCTAGATGCTTGGGCTTAAACGCTCAGAGTGGAAGGTGCTGAGGAAATAAATCTGACAAGTGACTGTAACTATGCTGTTTCAAAATGCTTTTGAGGTTGTTAGGTGCTGTTGCCAAAACAAGTGGCGCTAGGGACCACTAGCTGCACTGGTGGGTGCGGGGAGGAGCTGGTGGAACTGCGGGGAGGTGAGGAGACCTGAGAGTACTGTGGTAGAGATCCCGGCCCTCAGCTAGAGCTGGGGTTTTGTTCAGGAAGAGGTGGAAAAGGCAAATAACAGGAATAAAACGGGCGTCTCCCACTCTTAACGGAAACGCCGCTGCTGTGTGTTCCGGATGCGCGTGTAAAACACACGCGATGCTCTTGTTACAGATGTTTGGCGGCTGGCACTTCTACATACAGGCGTACAGAGCCCTGAAGCACAGAACTGCCAACATGGACGTGCTCATCGTTTTGGCAACCTCCATTGCCTTTGTCTACTCCTTCGTTATTCTTCTAGTTGCAATGGCTGAGAAAGCCAAAGTAAACCCTGTGACTTTCTTTGACACGCCTCCTATGCTGTTCGTGTTCATCTCCTTGGGCCGGTGGCTAGAGCATGTTGCAAAGGTAAGGAAAATAAAAGCCCGTGGTAGCTACAAGCTGCAAGACACTAAGGATAATTTCAGAATGTTATGTATGCTTAAAAAAAAAAAAAATCCCATTAAAAACTTCCGTTGGGTTCTTTTAACCTTCTTTGTTGTAAAATCATCTCCAATAACTCAACTAGTAAAAATGTGAAATGACTTAACGTAAGTCTGTTTGCAGAAAGTATTTTCTTAACAGGGTAAATTGCAACATGTGCATTTTGTTGTCATTTACCCAGCAGTTTTTTCAATAGCATAGTCAGAAAACCATGAAAATTATTATTCTAGGGTAAAACATCAGAAGCACTGGCAAGACTAATTTCATTACAAGCTACTGAAGCTACTATTGTTACCTTGGGCCCTGATAACGTTCTTTTAAGGTATCTTGCTTTGTCATTTGCTTTTTCTGTTGTTCCTTTTTTGTTGTCGATATGCTTAATTCACAGACAAATGTTGCCGTTCTGTAGAACATGAAGCAAATAACGTCAGATTTGCTGGCAGATTTGCCAGACATAAATGTTAAAATGCAGAGAAAGTAACACTGCTCTGATTTGTCTTATTGGAATCTTGCTAGTTTTTGCTGTGGTGAGAAAAGCCACGGATTTTCTTAACTGGAAAGTAAACAAAACTACGATAAGATAATCGTAGTGCTCTTTAAAACAGCCTTTCTTCTGACTATCTTTGTGTGTGTGTTATCGATGCCACCCGTTGGCATTATGCTTTGTGTATAGTGAGAGCTCCTTTAGCCTGGGTCGCTCCAGCTAACAATCTCTTATTAAAACCGCTATACGTCGTTCCAGTGAAGAGCAAGTTGATGTCGAACTGGTTCAACGAGGTGACGTTGTCAAAGTGATCCCGGGAGGCAAATTCCCAGTGGATGGTCGTGTTATTGAAGGCCACTCTATGGTAGATGAGTCTCTTATCACAGGTAAGCGTTTGCTTTTCACGAGTGTAAAAATGTGTTTATTTTCTGTTCCTGTAAAGAAATCTGAAGCAGGGAAGCTGATGTCCTCCTCCCTCTCCCTATTGGAGTTGGTAGCTATTATAACGTTGCTGAAAAATCTACCTCACTGTCTGTCATTGACCTTTCCTCAGGCGAAGCGATGCCCGTCACTAAAAAACCTGGCAATACGGTAATTGCAGGTTCTATTAATCAGAACGGATCGCTGCTGATTTCGGCAACCCACGTCGGAGCCGATACAA